GGCGGCGGCGCGCGCGTGGAGCACCTTCTTTTCCTCTGAGCTATTTACACTCTCATAACATGAGAACATATATATATCACTCTCTCTCACTTGTTTTCCCCGATGTGGGACAAACTTCATTCTTGTGCCATATTGAATTGGGCCATTTCTAATTCACGTTTAAATTTACCAAGCCCAAATGGCTTTTAATTATCCAACACCTGCAACCGCATACGAAAGGGATCCGGAAGTTATGCTTGTTGATGTGATGATCTTCGTCGGCGAGAGTCAGCACCTCGCTCTCGTCGATGTAATCGATTCCGATCGCTTCGAGGATCTGCGCCTCCACGAAATGACCAATCCTAGCCTTCGCCATCACCGGAATCGTAACGGCCTGTTTGATCTCCTTAATCATCTGTGGATCGCTCATCCTAGCGACGCCTCCCTGAGCGCGAATGTCGGCGGGGACACGCTCCAAGGCCATGACGGCGCAGGCACCTGCTTCCTCCGCGATGCGAGCCTGGTCGGCGTTGACGACGTCCATGATAACTCCGCCGCGGAGCATCTGAGCAAGACCGACCTTGACGGAGAAGGGAGATTTCTTAGCCTCCGTTATCGCTCCGTTACCGTACACAGCCACCACGCCGGTTCCTTCCATTATCGGAATCTAATCGATAGAGAGAGAGAGACAGAGAAATGGAAGAAGAAGATTTTGATTGGTGAATCGATTTCTGGTCCATCCTCGCCCTATCTTGGACTCTCCTTTATACTGAAAGGTTTGTGATAAACCCCCAAAAATAAATATTATAGTTCCATTTTCATTGGCTATCATTTGGGCGGTCCAGATTAAAAACACACCATTTCGATTTTCGCGTTAACACACATGTTTAGTGGACTGCAATTACTCTTTAGATTATAAATTTAATACAGTCCTATTTAAAATGAGTTGTCCGAAATTGGATTTTATCTAATCTATCAGTGGTAAATGCATTGCTAATCAGCGAATATGTAACGTAATCAAAGACATCTTTAACATGTTTAAATTGCACTTCCTACCCACCAACCTTCTTATATTACAGTATATTTTAGTTACTTATAGTGACAATAGTCACGTCGTTTTAGCTAAACTATTAACATCGCTCCAGCCTATAACATAAGGTATGTATTCGACTTATGCAATTATAAACAATAGTTTGAGTAACTTATAAGACTACGACTATTTACCATGGATTATTCTACAGAAAAATCAGTAATGTATGAACTTTAAAATATCTATTCATTAGGCTGAATATTTTAAAAATAAACTAGCAAAATGTGACGGATTTTATGGGTGGGTGAAACTAGAATGTAATATTTTGATTTGGGCTATTTTGTTCTAATGGAACTTGTAATTGAATCTAAATTTCCATTTTTGGGTTGCATAAAATTGATTTAGAAAGGAAAAATTTATTTTTTATTACGTATCTATCTTATTAAAGTTGTAGTACTCTTTAGGTTTGTTTGGAAACTTAAATAGTAGTAATAAAGAGTTTAATGTTGTTTGGCTATAAGTTTTAAGGAGTTGGGCTTTTAAACATTGTTATAATAGAATTGGGCTTTTGTTTAATTTATTTTATGTTATGGTTGGCTTTAATCATTTGGCCCATTGTAGTAATTTGTGTTTTTAGTTTATATTTTATATAAAGACCATATTCAATTTTATTTATTGTTGACTAAATTAAAAATAACATCAGTTTTTAAAATAATAACAATTTACATTTCAAATAATTTAATACTCAAATATATTTTATCTAAAGTATTTTCCATTATTCAAATTATCATAAAGACACAAAATATTTGAATAGTTTTAACTAAAATATAAAAAATTTGTTTTCGTAACTGGATATTTATCCGAAACACCTATCCCCCCCCAAAATCAGTTTTACACCGATTAATCTAAAATTAATCCTAGAAATCGTAACCAAACCGTTATCATATTGGAACCAAAAATTTATTTGATATTAGTCGGTTATTATAATTATTACCAAACTCAGCTCAAACCAAAAGAATCGAATCGGACGCAAATCAATTTATATAGATAACAAAACAGATCTTATATCTGTAGAATTAAAAAAACTACGAACATAAAGAATCCAACAAAAGTTGAACCCAAAATCAAACCCCAGTCCTATTACATTCAATACGATCATAGTTTTTGAAATACGGTAATAACCGTTGACTTATGAATATATTATGCTTTTCCAAATTAAGTTAAACACGCGCCGGTGCGCGGGTCAAGATCTAGTTTATATTAAGGGAAAAAATCAACTGACAACAAGAAATGTAACTGGACCACGACTGTAGCTCTAGTCCCCATTAATTGTTGCATAAAAAGACAATGAAATGGAGAAAAAAGGATGGCAGAAAATGAATTTCACGCATTTTAAAACTGATGGAAAGCATCTTTTATACTTTTTTTTTGAACAGTCGATAGCCAAGTAAACAAATTATACTTCTGCAACCTTATAATAAATTAAAAAAATATTATTACGATAATTATAAAATATGAGAGAAAAAGCAGTTTACAATGACAGAAAACAAATAAATAGGCGGCTGGGAATGAAAAAGAAAGGCCGCCACTCGTTTGCAATCAGTAGATATGTTCCACTCACTCGACCCAGCGGCCCAACACTGCCAACTTGGTCTAGCCACTACTTGACTGCAATAATGACAGATTACATAAAGTCCAAAACTATATACTTGATTATTGTTTTCTTTTTATATACATTCCTTCCTTTTGTTGAATTCGATTGTGGTAAGATAATGCAAGGGAGCGTAATGGTAGCTATAAAGATTAGTGTAGAAACAAGCATATCGTATATAACTAAGGGATGACCATAGCTTACGTGTAAAGAATCGCTAGAACACTTTAAAAGAATCAAATGAATAAACAACGATGAAACCAAAATAGTATACACATAAGAAAGAAATGGTACTTAGGAGCAATCAAGGCACACAATCAAGCCATTCTCGTTACATAACAAACACTGAATCCTGGAACCATCAGTAGAGACAATCCGTCGGCTACCTCTGCATCCATCACACATCAAAAACCTAACACCATCACACCGACTACAAGGTGTATCTCCAGCTATTGGAACCCCATCAAACAAAGCCCTGAACTCACCTCGCTCGTGTAGACCCAATACACGTTGAGCTCCGCCGATACACCTTCCCTTTACGAACAGAACCGGAGGCAAAACCTCTGCTCCTTCCTCCGCCTCTGCTGAAATTCTCCGGAGCTCTTCCCTGTACTCTCTGTGCATCGAAACATCCCTCTCATAATACTTAACCTTAAAGCTATCGAGCAGAAAGCGAATCATGTTGCAGTCGTCGAACGTTTTCCTGATTCCCCTAAGAGACGTTGTGTAGAATACAACAGATTCCTCTCCTCCCGGAGGACACCGGAGGATATTCCCGTCATTTCCTATCTTACTATCTTCTTCTTCTTCTTCTTGTTCGTCGGTGACGGAAGGAAGAGTATTGTCGATGATCTCTTTCTCCATTCCGGTTTCGTCGGCGGGAAAGACGATAACGTCTTCTTCATAACCATCATCGAGTTTGGGGTCTGTGGATAAGTCGTTGATTCTCCTAAAGCATCCCACAGCTAACTCGAACGCTTCGAGGAGTTTCGGATCGAAAAGTGTGGTGGAATTCAATTCAGGTCTTCTAAATCCACATCCCAAACTCTTTCTCCCCATTCCTCTCTCAGATCCGCAATTAACCGCCGTTTTGCTGCTATCTCTCGGAATTTGATTCACTGGTGGTGGACTGATATTCTCCTCGTTTCCACAAGCTTCTTCTACTTTATTCTTGCTTTCCACGAGTTCCGTTGCAATATGAGGAGATCTCCAGATCGTAGAAGAAGCTGCTGTAATCTGGGAAACATGATTGGATATCTTTGGAAGATACTCATCTGCTGCTGAAAGCACCTGCAGAATCCGTTCCTGTTTCAGATACTCTCCGGCAGCTCTCATCGATTTCAACTTCTTCGCAAACTTCATCTTCGATGACTTCATCTCCAGGAGATCTGTACCGATATGAATTGACAAAATAGGTTAACAGAGAAAAAGTGTTCTAAGTGAGTGATAATGGTTCAATTTCAATCCTAACGGCTAGAAATGACTAATAGCTACTTTTTTTTCGGGGGAAAACAAACAAGAGTGAGCTAGAGATAGTGTACGGTTGGGTACACTGAGATTTTGTGTAGTAAGTGCCACGCTGGCATATCAATTAACAAATGCTCCTGCATGAGCCCAACTAGACAATTTTTTTTGTTATGTATGCAACAAAAAAAAAAAAAACAAAGGGTGAACAATTTGAGAAAGAAACAAAGAATCCCTAAAAAACTCAAACCAAAATGATTACAAACCACACAAAGTGGTTGTACAGGTCACTGAGTTAGTCTTTTTTTAAGTACATAGAAACACACAGCTTCAAGTGGAATCTTTTGCTGCTTCACGCTATTTTCCATCTCCTACGGGTTTACTTCTCTACAATAGTCGTCGACAAACATACCATACCATGTCATATCAACCTCTTCTTCCTTTCAACCACTTTAATCGTTTGTCCTCTCCCTTTAGTTGACTAAACGGGCACACGTTTCCCCCGGTACTTGTCAAAGAACTGTTGCATCACATACACAAAGTACGAACCAATCAAATAATATAATAAGCGGAATATGCAACAGAGTTGATAGGAACTAATAAGAAAAACTAGCCTAGAAACTCAAGAAACAATTTGAATAAATTTTGTTTTGCAATGAATAAGAAACATACAGATCGTATATATGGTTGCTGAATGATCCAACCGAGAACGGGTATCTTTTGTACGAAAACTGCCAAGGTTGGCCAGAAGCCGCTGCAATATGGGGGAAACAACTGTTAGTAACTCTGTCTATAAACAATACCAGCAGTAAGAAATAAGAAAAGAGGAAGAAGTGAAGGGACCTGAAGAGTACAAAAAAGCCATAGGTCTCTAACATCATTCCCAGGATAGGCCATCCAAGGATAACAAAGAAGAAGCCGACCCCAAAAGAGATGGTTCCCTGAGTGGGGAATATTAAAAGAAACATGTAAGAAAACAACAACCAGAAAATAGTAACTAGGAAGAGAGAAGAAACCTTATAGTTCGAAGGCTTGGTGAAAAACTGCATGGTAGACTTGAGGCCAATGGTTAGACTGACCCCAGAGATGAAAAGAATCTGGAAGAAAGACAAGTTGTGGATCAGTAAAGAAGCAAGAATAAGAATGAAAGCATATATAGTATTGAGGAACTCACATTTCCCATGGCAAGTAAGCCCTTGTCAAAGACAAAGACGATTCCCAAAAAGGAGAAGAATACGCCAAATGCTGTCAGCCCTAACCCAATTTCTGTTTCAAAGATGATAACATAAAAGATTTAAAGTACCGAGATAAATAGCATAAAGTGTGGCTCCAACAATAGCCTAACACATTCGATGATCCACTCTCTCGCTCGCTATAAAGTATCATAGCAAGAAATGGAAAAAAGTAGACATACTTTTGCGGTCATTCATCTCGAAGGACATCATTGTTGCCTTCTTCAACCTTTTGGCTGCCACATGAAAAGAAAAACAAGCTGAAGGCTTCGCCAAGACATAGGGATCTAAAATGGGAAACATTAATGAGGACGACGAGTAGAGAGACGGAATCAAAGGAAGATAATAAATACGGTTGTTCAATCCAAAATGGTAGTGCATACCCAAACAATAATATACAATCTAATGTTGATGGATTTCAATCACAACAAAGGGCAAAACACGTAATGAATGATGATGGAAAGGAGGGAGGGAGGATTGGGTCGTAATAACTCACAGATCTAGGAAGTAGACAAAGGATACAACCTAGAACGCGAAGAACGATCAGGAGAATTTTAAGTCGGGATCAACGAGAAACCTGATGGTGGGAGACGAATTGGCTGAGAGAGAGAGAGACCCGAGAAGAAGAAGAAGAAGAAGAAGAAGAAGAAGAAGAAAGAGATCACCGATCGATTTGTTGTTGTTACCGGAAAAGAATGAATTAGGAACTGAAGTATGAAATTAT